TTCAATCTGAGGATGTCTAGTTAAGGTGTACACGATCTTTTGTGTCTTACCCTCGTTCAGCTTGAATTTATTGGCTGAGAACGATGTCTTGGCTTCCTCGAAAAGAATTTCTGCGTTGTCGAGAGCTTGAGCAGGAGTAGAACCTGTTGGCAAAATTGTAGTGTCGTCTGCAAATCTTAGTGCTGAGCCACTCAAGCCAAGGTCATTGATTGAGACCAGAAATAGAACACGCCTTTGGCTCGCTTGGGGCTCCGCCCCCAGGCCCCCTTTTTTGGTAGGGGGTAAATAGAAATGGGCCATGGCGCAAGACCTGCAATTGAGCCAAATTTCAGATCTTTAGCTATTCTAGAAGTGGGTAAAATTGATTGAGACCGATGCACCTGTAGGAATAACATTGGGGGGGATTCTATATTTCGTGGGGGAGGGAGTTATATTTGTAAAATGTCACTTTTTGGAAAGGGCGCAAGATCTACAATCATGTAAAATTTCAGATATCCAGTTAATCTAGAAATGTGTAAACGTTATTTAGACTTATGCACCTGTAAGAATTAATAACATTGGGGGGATTTAATATTTGGGGGGGGGGTTGTAAATACGATAGGGGGATAAAACCTTAAGTAAACCAGAGTAAATCTATAGCATGAACGGACCATGGGAACGGGGACTTATGGTGGTTTTTATGGGGTAAATGTTTTCTCCATAAGAATAACATGGGGCTCGTAAAAACTTTCAAATGTTGACATTAAACCTAAGTTTTGGGGGTTAAGGAGTAAAGTTACGAAAAACACGTACAGTGTAAAATTTAAACTAAAGTAAGGAGAATACAAAGCAATAATAATATTTGCAAAAAGGAATGATTTAAGTATGAAAAAATAGCGAAAACCGGTAAAAAGTTGAAAGAAATTTACCAAATTTTGAAAGTAGGGAGTTTTTTGAACCCGAAAGAGTGCGATTTTCGGAAAACACCATCGAGGGTTTTGTAGAAAATTTAATTCCTGTTCCTGGATATACTTTCAAATCTTTTCTAGCTCTTACTGTTTTCGAGCTAAATCCGTTTGAAAAAAACGTGTTTTATCGTTTTCAGAGGTCCGCCATTTTGGATTTTTGGCGGGGTTAAAATTTGAAAATGGGACTTTTGCAAATTTCACCGTTAATATAAGATCCCCTACAACAATAATACCAAGTGTCAAGTCTCTAGCACGTTTCTAAACGGTTCAGATGAGCACACCAAAGTCGACCACTTTCAATGTTATTCTCCATAAGAATAACATGGGGCTTGTAAAAGTGGCAAAAAACCTTCAAATTTTGAGATTAAAATTAAGTTTTGGGGGTCAAGGAGTAAAGTTACCAAAAAACATGTAAAAAATAAAATTTAAAGTAAAGTAAGGAGAATACAAAGCAATAATAATAAAAAAAAAATTATTTAAGTTTGAAAACATGGCGAAAACCGGTAAAATTTAATAAAAATTTACCAAATTTTGTAAGTAGGGCGTTTTTTGAAGCTGAAGGAGTGCGATTTTTGGAAAAAGGGTTTTGTAGAAAATTTAATTCCTGTTCCTGAATATTATTTCAAATCTTTTCTAGCTCTTACTGTTTTCGAGCTAAATCCGTTTGAAAAAAACGTGTTTCATCGTTTTCAGAGGTCCGCCATTTTGGATTTTTGGGGGGGTTAAAATTTGAAAATGGGACTTTTGAAAATTTCAACATTAGCTTATGATCCCTTACTACAATACTACCAAATTACAAGTCTCTAGCACATTTCTAAACGATTCATATGACCATACCTAAGTCATTATATTTCAATCTTATTCTCCATAAGAATAACACGGGGCTCGTAAAAGTGGCAAAAAAACTTCAAATTTTGAGATTAAAATTAAGTTTTGGGGGTCAAGGAGTAAAGTTACGAAAAAACATGTAAGGTGTAAAATTTAAAGTAAAGTAAGGAGAATGCAAAGCAATAATAGTTTTTGAAAAAAAACATTATTTAAGTATGAAAACATGGCGAAAACCGGTATAAATGTAATAAAAATTTACCAAATTTTGAAAGTAGGGCGTTTTTTGAAGCTGAAGGAGTGCGATTTTTGGAAAACGCCTAAGAGGGTTTTGTATAAAATTTAATTCCTGTTCCTGGATATACTTTCAAATCTTTTCTAGCTCTTACCGTTTTCGAGCTATATCCCTTTGAAAAAAACGCGTTTTTTCGGTTTCAGAGGTGCGCCATTTTGGATTTTTGGGGTGGTTAAAATTTGAAAATGGGACTTTTGCAAAACTCACCGTTAATTTAAGATCCCATTGTACAATACTACACAAATTTGAAGTCTCTAGCACGTTTCTAAGTTGTTCAGATGAGCTTACCAAAGTCGGCAATTTTCAATGTTATTTCCCATAAGAATAGCATTGGGGGGGGGAAATTCTGTAATAAGGGGGGGCGACACGCACCTTTGACATTCAGTGCTACCTCCAGTTAGAATTATAGCTGTCGAGACAAAACCCACCGATTAACAAAACTCTTATCACAAAACTGGCATACATTCATTGTTGACAAGACAAGCGAATAAACGATGAAGTACACCACGCGACCACGCGACAGACAGCATTGAATTTGACGTTTTAAGTTCGGCACTGCTCGGTAAGATTCGGAAGCGTTCGGCACAGCGCAGTAGTGGGGGAAGCGTTCCGATTTCAAATTCCGCTGTCCCGTTCCCGTTTCTAGACAGACGAAAAAAGGGCGGTGACGGTCTGACGGCAAGGTCTCCTCCACTGAGCTATAATAATACTAGGTGTACAATGCAGTTGTCTGCTTGCATTATTGAGCGGAGCTAGCATATTAATATAATACTTTTCTAAAGTCAACGGCACATCTGTTTCTCGTAAATGAGATTAAATACTTGCAGTATCCAATGTCAATAATCTATTTGATTTACATAAATGGAATTACTATTTGCATTATTCAAATCCAATTATAAGTCTGGTTCACGTAAATGAATTGTCTACTTACAGGAACCAAAGTCTATGTTTCATCTGGTTCTTATATATTAAATGTCTACTTGCAGTATCCAATGTCAATGATACATTTGGTTCGCATAAATAAAATGCCTATTTGCAGCATCCAAAGTCAATGGTACGAATTACCAAATAAATGGCTCACTTAAGTGGAATGTATATTTACAGGTTCTAAAGTCAATGGTACGTCTGGTTCACGTAAACGAATTGTGTACTTGCAGTATCTAAACTTAATAGTACATTTGGTTCACGTAAATTGTTTTCTTCCAGTATCATGAATCAATGATACACCTGCTTCACATAAATAAAAAATCTACTTGCAGTATTCAAAGTCAATGGTCCATTTGGTTTACACAAATAAGATGCCTGTTTGCAGTATCCAAAGCCAATGGTAGGCTTACTTCAGGTTTACTTAAATGGAATGTATATTTGCAGTATCCAAACTCAATGGAATTTTGGTCCACGTAAATGAATTAATTGACTACAGTACTAGCAGGATCCAAAGCAATGGTTAATTTGATTCACATAAATGAATTGCCTAACTGCTATATCCACTGCTATAAGTCAATGGTACGTCTGGTTCACGTCAATGGATTGTCTACTTGCAGTAAACAAATTCAATTGTAGGCCTATATATTTGGTTCACTTAAATGGAATGGCTATTTCGATTAAGTCAATGGTGCATCAGCCTTATTCCGGCGACACTAATAATTATTGGTTATTCATTTTGTAATAAATTATGCTCAATGATATTAATCCGATCGTTCTTCCCTTTTTCTCTGTACGGTATTTGTAATGTACTATTTAGATGATTCGTTGACTAACATATGTTGCGACTCTTGTTTACCTTTTTATTATCTAGGAAATAACGAAACGGCACACGGAAGATTTCTCAGGTGCCGTTTGACGTCACTAACTGCTGACGTCAGTTTGAGGGAACACTATTACCGCAACGATACGGCATCGAGCCATCGGCCTCTGTGGTGTAGTGGCTAGCGTGTCGGGCCGATATTCCGAATGTACCGGGTTCGAATCCCTTTGGTAGCATTATCTTTTTGTCAAAATTTTTTTTCATATCAGCAAGTTTGGTTGGTTTGGTTAGGTTATGACAGTTTAATTTTATAATTAAAAATTAAATCGAATTAAATTAAAAATTATAAAATTGAATTTTAGGCATTTATAATTTTATTTTATGAAAAAAACTATTTTTTAGATTAGTAAACCTTCATTCGATTTTTTTATTATCAGCACGTTTGGTTAGTTTGGTCAGGTTATGACAGTTTAATTTAATAATAGAAAAATTATAAAATTGTCTGTTTCTTCAGACGCAGCAGTTAGTGACGTCAAACGGCACCTGAGAAATCTTCCGTGTGCCCCACCGAGGAAATAATGTCATGGCAACCAATTAACCCATAAGGCCCATGGCCCATGTTAAATTTACAAAATTTTAAATTCATGTAGGGAAAAGCCCTGTGGTCCGATTTGTACCATTTCAGATGTATACCTTCCCATGGTTGGTTACTATGATTGTGCAAAATTTGGTGCAGATCGCTTCAGCCGTTCAGGAGGAGTATTTGTAAAACAAAAGCAGGAGTGTAGTATAAGAGCTTCGCTTCGCTCCGCTCAATAACTGGAGTAACCACTCTGTGTTTTAAAAACGTACCACTGTTTTTGCTGGTTTTGTTTCAGAGTTTCGTTTTGTTAGGTTGGCCGGGTGATCGGGTTGGTGGGACTTGTCAATTAGAGAGGCAAAATCAAGATGGCGTCATCCTGTTTTGTTGATGATAGTAAACAAAAATCTGCCAACTCATCATTATGATTGCAATATAAGTTTAGTATGGTTAGGTTAGAATGAATTGGAATTATTTGACAGCATCCCACCAACCGATCACACGGCCAACCTAACAACACGAAACACCAAAAACAAACCAGCCAAAACAGTGGCACGTTTTTCTCTAACGTTTAACCAGAGAGTAGTGACTCCAGTTATAATCTATATCTCAATGGTCTCCTCTAGCTCCGTACTAGTTCTCGTTTTCACTGTTTTCAGTTTCTTCGTTTCTTCTTCTTGTTCTATATTCTTTCTTGTGTGGTGTGGCCGTGGCCGGTGTGTTTGTGTTCAAGAATATTGTATTTCAATTTCATATTGATTAAGCTTATTTGCTAGCTAAAACAAAGAAAATGTCAACGTTTTCCCTGATCCAACCAGCTCCTCCTATAGAAGTATTTGCCCTCAACAAAAAGTGTTTAGAAGATTCTAATTGTAGCAAAGTTAATCTTGGAGTTGGAGGTAAGTCAATAACATAACCTAACTTCTAATCAGCAAAATACTGTTATTAATTTTATGGAAAATAAATAAAAATAAAAATACGTCTAAGTTGAATCATACGCACTTAAGTATAAGTTAGGTAGGTCCTGTTATCTTGGTAATTATTTAGTAGGCCTAAGTTGTACACTGGGATAGGCTATGATGTAGTTAAGTTAATTTTTGTATGATGTAATGTCTAGGCCTAGGCCTACTTGCAGTTTTTTCCACGCTGAATCCAAAAATGCAATCAGTTTTTGTCAGAGAGATTCCTAAGTGGCCGTACAATTAAAGAATTAATAAAGCTTCAGTTTCGTTGAGTTAACTTAACTTAAGTTATTCAGATTTTTTTGGGATATTTGTCCAAGTTCCAGCAGCAATTAACTTAACACTGAAAGGGGAGGAAGGTTTGTGGACTTGTAGAGTGGAAACAGCTAGCATATTAGCTGTTTACATTCGACTGTTAAACAAACAAAATCACACACGACGACACGGGAGCAAAATCAGACTTACAATATGCAATAACTCGATTCTTAAAAGCAAATGGGCTTTGATGCCGTTTAGAAAATACAGTTATGCCTAACGGGTACACTTCCATATACTGTTGGCACAAACAACCGAATGAGTAATATTGATTGATTGTTTAATTTGATATATCGTTTGGTCAGGTTAACCTTACCTAACTAACCGAACGATATATCGATCAATATTACTCCATCCGGTTGTTTTGCCAACAGATATGGAAGTGTACCCCTGCCTAACTCAACTATGATACATAAACTATCAATCACATAAACATTAATTATTTAAAAATGGAATTTATTCTCGTCAAATACAAGTAATAGAAGCTATATGCCACTGAGACTTCAATAACGACATGATTGTCCTCATTTAAACCCTCAACGTCAAGAACTAAGGATTTATTTGACCCAACAATATAAACAACTCATGGATCGCTGGCTCAGTGTTGGCCGCGCGGTTGAGCTTCCCCCACCATCTACTGGCAGAAGCCGACGCAGCCCATACATTCACCATTATAAAACGCACTTTTTATTTGATGCTCTGTTGAATTTTATAGGGATAAAATATTGCTAACGCTTGTCAAACTCTTTTTACTAGTTAAACCTTTTATGTCTGTTTTGTTTCTTGCAGAAAATAGCCCATCTGAATTCTTTAAAACTACAAATTCACTAAACCCGTTTTGTAGATGTTTTTATACAACTGATATTGCTAGTTCCAAATTGTACATAATAAAATAATAAGTGATTACAAAGGAGAAATAGAAAGTACAATATTTGTACTTTCTATTTTTAAGCTCTACAAAATAGTTTCGAAATAAATTGCAAAATTTTATGTTTTTGGGTCAAAAATGGAAAAACCCCATTTTTACCCCATAAAAGCCCCCATAAACTCCCGTTCCCATGGTCCGATCATGCTGGTTCGCAAACTCGCTCGAATAAACGTAGGTTTACACGTTTGTACCAAAGGTCATCAAAACCGGATCATTTTTGCTCGAGTTATCGCGCTAACGGACACATATAGGCCTATATATATATATAAATATATAATATATATATAAATATATAATATATATAAATATATAATATATATAAATATATAATATATATAAATATATAATATATAAATATATAATATATATAAATATATATATATATATAAATATATATTTATGAATTTGAACGGATGGTGTTTTTAACCTCTAGGGACCTCAGAACGAAGAAAAAAAATCGGTCCCGGGTCCAGGTCTTACCGTGAGTACTACGGTAATAGCTTATTCCCTATAGGGGAAATTCGCTAATATATTTAACTGAAAATCAATTCAGACAAATGGAAATTCGCTTAGTCGGCAGGTGTGCTGCGGCGGGGGTATTTTATAAACACAGTACATGCTCAACAACTGAGATTTAATACCATAGCCTAATACATAACGTCTTTTATAATTTTAGCGAATTTCCCTATAGGGAAAGCTATTACCGTAGGTGGCACGGTAAGACCTAGACCCGGGACCGATTTACTTTTTCATTTTGATGTCCCCAGAGGCCAAAAACACTATTCGTTCAAATTTTTATATATGTATATATATATATATATATATATACTAGCTGTTGTACCCGTGCTTTGCAACGGGAAGAGGACACAAAATAGAAACATTTTAATCTTTACATCTGTTGCATATAATAATTACACATCCCCCAAAGCTTTTAGAAACAAAATTAAACTTTTATGGCCTTAATAGAAAGGTTTAAGTTATGATTTTTAAATCTCGTAAGTAGTGGATACCACCATTTTGGTTTTGATTAATTTTAAATCTTGTGTAGGCTGATATGAGAAAAACTGACCAAATTTTCGAATTAAACTTTCACATACGATTTACCTTCATCTCCCTTAATTACATATCTTTTTATTTATAATTGGCATTATAAATTTCAATTTTGAAGTTGCATAAATACTTATTATTAAATTTAAATGGTCATTTTTTTTTAACCCTCCGAGTGTTATGTGTCGTAAAATCGACACATAACACACTTTGTGTAGTGTTTTGTGTCGATTTTTCGACTTACAAACACTGTTTGTGGCGAAGGCTCTATGACTGACAAAATCGGATTGAACTGGATCGAGTTAGGTATCGTTTTATTTGGCAGATTCTAAGCTTTCTCCCGAGGTCTGTCTCTAAGCGCTTTTTTTCTCGAGCCGATCATAATTGTAGCAGACAGCTGACGTGCGTATTTTTAAACAGCTTTTGGTTAACCTCGCACCGATGACTGATGTGTTTTATTAGGTACGTTTATCATTGTTTTAGTGTTAAAAATCAAAAGTAGTGATATACATGGTGCATTATAAGATTTAAGTGATTTTGAAGGGCTGGTTGATGATCCTGAAGAAGTAGGTAGTGATTGATGTAAATTATCAGCCAGATTCCTAGCTATGCATTCTTAGCTAAACGCTATGTACCGAAATCTGTTTTTGTCCCATAACTTATTTATTTGCAAATCTACTTCCTTATATTATTATATTTTTGGAATCCTCATAACATTCTGAACAAAGTGGCTATTTTAAAATATTTGTAGACCTATAAATTATAACAATTTATTGAGCGCAAACATAAATTTTTTTCATTTATTTTATAATTTTTGAGAAATGTTAACCCCACAAAATTTTTTGAACATTTTTTTGTAATGTTTTATATGTTACATTGAAGCCCATAATTTTCCAAACAAAATGATATATAAATTAGTATACTTTACATTGTTTTTAAGTGTCTAAGATACATTTTAATAAAACCCTGCGATTGCGCAATAAGTGGGCGAACATTAAGACCAAAACTAGAGACACTTGGAGGGTTAAATTTCACTCTTCTTCATATTAAATAACAAATCCTTCAATCTTCAGTTTCTTCACTCACAATAAATCATCAGCCAAACTAAGTCAGCTGTTATAAACTTTAGAAATATTCTTGTGCCTTATCAATACAGTCTTTTGAAATATTAAAGAAACTATATCTATACTATAAAAAATGTTAAACAAATAATTTTGTACTAAAGACAGCAGACAAAACTAATATGATTATCAAAGCGTCGAGAACTAAAAATGTAATAGAAAATACAGTATATGTTTCATTGCATCTCTGATTCTACTCTACAAAAATATCAACAAACAACTTACAAACCAGTTCTTTTAATCAGTTCCATCATCCATTGCCTTTAAATTTTCACACTTACCATTAAGTAAACGTAGTATCAGATATTTTATTGATTTTATAAACAAAAGAACACTGTGTACTGCTTAGTTTTATGATATTTTCCTTAGTTTAATTTAATCAGTGGTGTGGCAAAACACAAATAATAAATTTATCAAATAAAGTAAATGTGAACTGAAAGCTATGTTAAGATAAATAAGAGTATTTTGTATTACCATTTGATAATTTAATATAGTTATATATACATAGTTAAAATAGATAGTTATATATACAACAGATTTTAGAACACAAAATCAATGACGTACAATTTTGTTATTGATGATATTCTTTAGTTTAATTTAAGCATAGGTTTAGCAAAACACAATAACTTAATTTACCTAAATATACATATACAAAACAATGTGATGTGCAAGTTATGTTAAGTTAATCTAACACATGTTAAAATCTAACACATGTTAAGGAGTTAGAATTTATTTAAAGTAGCCTCCAAATTCATATAAAATATCCATACATTGTAATTTTCATACTGTTTCCATCAAATCACATTAATAACATTATTTTCATAACTTAGACGCTTAAAAAAAATCCAAGAATCTTTTTTTATATAATCATTGACATGATTTTAGAATAAATAATCCATGATAAAAGGTTAGATTAAAATAAACCTACCTCATGTTATGGAAAATATTATATTTAATTTCTTTGTATCAGCTGTCTGAAATTGTGAAATATGCAATTTAGCAATTCTTCTTGTTTACATTGAATTGAAGCAAATGTAAACAAACATTGTTAGTGTTCTGATCACAGTCATGGAGACCAATCAATATTTACTTTTAAAATCCTCACCTCAGAACTGTAAAAGCCAAAGGGGCAAAGCCTACGGTCAGTATCGAAATGTGAATAGTCCTATAATGGTCCTTGGTATGGTAGCTATATTTTTGTAAAATTTAAGCTTAGGTGGTTCAGTAGTTTTTGCACCTATTAGTAATACACATACAGACAGACACCATTAGATTTTTATATAATAGTATAGATATAGATATAGACTTATATATATATAAATATATATACGTCCGTGAACGCGATAACTTGAGTAATTTTTGTCCGATTTTGATGAAATTTGGTTTAAAGGTACGTAAAGCGGGATAAACTTGAATGAGTTCGCGAACCAGCATGATCGGACCATGGGAACGGGGCTTTACGGGGGGTTTAATGGGGTAAAAATTGGTTTTTCTCACTTTTGACCCTCAAAACACAAAATTTCCCA